TTATACTTTTCAGAGGTCCGATATTGTTCTATGTACAATCCTTGTTTTATTGATTGCATGTAATATTCTAATTTTCTGAGATTGTGGATTTGGGGTTTTCATGAGCTGTAAGCCATAATCATCACAGTTATGACACATCACGGCTTGAACTATCTTGCTTTGCATGTAATGAGTCTATCTCATATATTAGGTTCACCTTGTAAGTTGCATTACTGAAATAAATGAACTTTTGCACGATATTCTAATTTTTCGAGTTTCACCTGTATATGTAGTAAATGCAATAGATCACATAATATGAGGAAAAACTAGTTGGGGTAAGTACAACAGAAGCTTAAAAATAATAATAATAACTTTTGCTACATGCTACATACTATTATGAATTAAAAAGATAGCAGAGATAGTAAGCTACCATTAATTTTTATAAATAATCTAATGACAAAAGATACATGAATTACTTGACAGAAAGGTTAATGTAATTTGTTTATGACCACATTTATCCCATTGGAAAATCCAAATAAGAAATCAATGGCTTGTACAGGACCTGAAAATTTCTTCAGCATGACAAAACAAGCATTGTGCTGTTGCAATATTCATTTCATCATTTCTACTCTCCCACCCTGATTATCCATAAAATAAAAATTTAGACCTTGCCTTCTTAACCTCACATCCCAACTGTTAGGAAAATAATGACAAAGAAAACAAACCGTAAATTTAATATAATAGTCATTCATATCAAATTACATTATATTCAAAACAACCACCTACTTAAAAAGCCTACTTGCAGGACATATCTGAGTTAAGTAATCATCATAGCTGATTTGTAAAAAAAAATTACTGATTCCCAAAAAAAATTGCAAAATATAAGACTGGTAAAGCTATCTTTCAAAGGGGACTACAATTAGACAACACAACTATTCAGTTTGTGAACATTTATTTTAACTGATAAATACAACTTGAAAACCGCAAGAAAAATTATCTTGAGCAGAAGAAAGTTGTAAAATCAGAAAAGAGAGTGGTCCCACCCCAACTGGGAGTTACAGATTATCTGTTCTATTAAAATCCTTGCACAACACTGCTTGGTTGTCTTACTATCTTCAGTTAACCTTCATTCCAAGTAAAAGAGTTTTCAATCCGCTGTTTATAAATGGAGGCAAATGATGTATTGTAGTGGGAAATCTCGGTAACTTTATTTTACCCTAATGAAACAGATCCAAATAACAATTACTGAAATAAATGAAGATTTGTTTAACTTTCTACCAGTAGACCAGAATTCTCAGCCTGATACTCATCAAATATTCCCAGAATTCATGGTGAATATGCTTATTTGCAAACTTGGAAGTTATGGAAAGCACCAAGCTGGAGAAGACTGATTTTAGGAGAAGGTAATAAGAAACACCTGTAAAAGGAATCAGACAAACAGAACAGTGAGAAATGAAGATTTACATAAAGTACATATTAAATTAAAATATATTAATATAAATTATATTACCAGAAAAAACACCACAGTATTGACTATGAGGGATGGATTTTCCAGGGGGTCTTTCATGTATAGATCTTTTACGTCTGCACACCCGATGTGCTTGACCTATCACAGCCAAACTATGATTGAATGGCTCAATAAATATGAAGTCGTCATTCATCTGCAAAAAACCAACCTGCAGGGAAAACAAAAGCAACAGATTAAGATTTCATCATGCTATAAAGAAAATAAAATATTTAAAATTATGTTTTAAGAATTGTAGCAATACAGTATCAAATGACACTACTGTTATGACTGTTCTATTTTACAAGCGGATCAGAAAAATCAGGTGCCATAGCCTTTAGGAAAATATGGGAACATTAATTCATTTCAAATCACTAAAGAGTTTCAATTATTTTCAAAAAATGTGTTATGTGTTAAATGTGTTTAATGTTTTGAAAAATAAATCAATTAAGAAAACAGCCCATCATTTTTCTAAAGAGTAACACACCTCAAATTTCTGAATTGGATTGGATTGGATTGGATTAGATTAGATGTCCATAGTATTCATGTGTATATGTATATACACACTCACACACACACACACACACACGGGAGAGGGGAGGAAGGGAAGAAGGGAGGGAGAGAGATAGAGAGAATCTGCTTTAGTTGATATTTTCCATATAAAATAATCTTTATATCAAGAAAATCAGTGCAAGCAAGTTTCTTGAAACCTTAATTACCGGTACTTTTAATTTGTTTACATGGGATTCTAAATTTGAAAATTTCTGTACTGATAAAAAATTTACTAATACCATAGTTTGTAACCTGAAACACACTGAGTTCCTGATAACAAAATAATTGCATGGTGTATAGAATTTGATAAACTTTCTGCTAATATAGCACCGCCCACCACTCCAAATCATGGTGGGGGGTATCTTATTGGTTTTTAAGCTAACGAGAGAGAGAGAGAGAGATTGCATTTCCAAGGCAAAATGTACAGTTGCAGAATACATTTTTATATAAAAATCAGAAATCTTAACAAGAGAGAGAGAGATCCATTCTATTCCACTAACAATTCTTATAATATTGCAAACCTTACTGCTGGATCATATGTAAATATAACCCATTCTAGTACCTTAGTACCAACACCAAGCAGATAAATGGCCCCAGTAAGGTCACTAACAGGATATGCAGGGAATTACTTTCTTGTCATTTCCCCAATATTTGATGATCAGAGTATAGACCTGCTTTATGAATTTTAAACAAAATCCTTTTAAAATTATGTAAATTAGTGGCCATTACCAACTCTTGTAGTAACAAATACTATGTGTTAATTACATATGTGAAGATGCTTTTGTTTGCCTTGAATTCTCTACTAATCATTTACTTGATGACCCTTTTCAATCAATGTATATAGTTTATGTCTTCTTATTTTTTNATAGACCTGCTTTATGAATTTTAAACAAAATCCTTTTAAAATTATGTAAATTAGTGGCCATTACCAACTCTTGTAGTAACAAATACTATGTGTTAATTACATATGTGAAGATGCTTTTGTTTGCCTTGAATTCTCTACTAATCATTTACTTGATGACCCTTTTCAATCAATGTATATAGTTTATGTCTTCTTATTTTTTTATAAATGAAAAGAAACTTAGCATGTTTCACTCTTTCTACTTATGGAGGATTCTCCTGACCATTAATGCTTTAAGTTCTTTTATCTGAACAATGTCTACTAATCCAACTGGTATTGCATTTGCTATAGCTGAGTTTGCACAAGCAAGATTCAGGTTCAAATTCCTGCTCAAAACTCACTGGGTGGCCTCTGACAAATCACTTGATCTCTGTCTCAGTATCTGATGGAATCACTGAAAAGTAATGAATGCTTTAACATTATAAACAACAAAGATGTAATACATGTTGTAGAGAAAAAGATGTCTTCTTGTTTTTACTAAAAGGGGAAAAATGCTTTTATTGTCCTAAGGAAACATTGCATATGGCAAACTACCAATGAAGAAAAAGTTAAACTGTAAAATTTAATTGTGTTAGCATAGCCATGGCTGATGCTATATTTCCCCAGATGTTCTTAAAAAAAAACCCAGTAAAATCACATTTAAGATCCATATTCCTGAGGATTGGAAACGGGCTGATGTGGTTCCCATCTTCAAGAAAGGAAAAAAAACGGACCCAGGAAACTACAGACCAATTATTTTAATATCAATACCTGGGAAGATCCTAGAAAAGATAATCAAAAAACAGATCTGCAAACAATTAGAAGTAAACAAAGTTATAACTAGTAGCCACCACGGGTTTGTTAAAAACAAATTGTCAACGCTGTCAGCGCTCTGACCACTGAGATCAGCAGCCATTTTACTTTTGCTTTTAACATGCCCTTTCTGTTCTTCTAGAGTTCAGATGTAGAAGGGGGGAATGGGGTAAATGCTTGAGGGTTTAGATAGCCATAACAATGCAGAAGTGTGGGAACTCAAGGACATTGTCTGATAAGGTTTTGGCGGGCTGAGGAGCCAGAGAGAAAAGCCCACGTTTTGCGCTAATTGGGGAATGTGATTTATGACAGCTTTTGTGGGGTGGGAAATGCAACTTGTTACTTTGTATCTGGGGGGAGGGAATCTCAGTCTTGGGTTCAACTATGTAAATGCTGATACTTTGTTTCCTGAATAAAATGTTCTTTAAGGAAGAATTCCTTGTCTTGAAGACCTTTTGATTGGTTTCATCTATCGGAACCATGACACAAATCATGCCAAACCAATCTTATTTCATTCTTTGACAAAGTGACTAAACTAATAGACCAGCAACATACTGTGGACGTAGTATACTTAGACTTCAGTAAGGCATTTGATAAAGTAGACCACATAGACAACATCACCGTAGTTGGCTGGCAAATCAAACTCAATGAGTAGTCCTCAACAGCACTACATCCACATGGAGAGAAGTAAGTATTGGGGTATCACAAGGTTCCGTCCTAGGCCCAGTACTCTTCAATATCTTCATCAATGAGTTAGATGAGTGAATTGAAGGGGAACTCATCAAATCTGCAGATGACACCAAACTGGCAGGAGTAGCCAACACCCGAGAAGACCAACTAAGGATCCAAAAAGATCTTGACAAACTTGAACAATGGGCCCTATCCAACAAAATGAGTTTCAAGATGGAGAAAAGCAAAGTTTTACATTTAGGAAGGAAAAATCAAAGGTACAGGTACAGATTGGGCAAGACCTGGCTTAAAAACAGTAACTGTGAGAGAGACCTTGGAATCCTAGTGGATGACCATTTAAACATGAGCCAGCAATGTGCAGCCGCAGCCAAAAAAGCTAATACAATCCTGGATTGTATAAACACAGGCATAGAATCAAGATCACGCAAGTTATCAGTACCGCTTTATAAAACCCTAGTAAGACCACACCTGGAATACTGCAGCCAATTTTGGTCACCGTATCACAAAAAAAATGTTGAGAGTTTGGAAAAAATTCAGAGAAGAGCAACAAAGATGATCAAAGGCCTGGAGACTAAAACATACAAAGAATGGCTGCAGGACTTGGGTTTGGCTAGTCTAAAGAAAAGAAGAAAGAGGGGAGACATGATAGCAGTATTCCAGTATTTGAGGGGCTGCCACAAAGAAGAGGGGGTCATGTTATTCACCAAAGCACCAAAGGGCAGGACAAGAAACAATGGTTGGAAACTGATCAAGGAGAGAAGCAACCTGGAATTAAGGAGAAACTTCCTGACAGTGAGGACAATTAACCAGTGGAACAGCTTGCCTCCAGAAATCATCTTCACCCGTAGTGGCAGATGTTCACAACCACCCAACAGACTTAATCTATAGGAAGTGTTGTTGCTAGTTCTCATCCAAAATTTCACAATGTTGTTTGGTTAACATGAAAAGGGGAAGATGTTAGGGGTATTATGTTTACCTTATATGCAGCTCTATCATTCATCTCTATTGTATTTGTTTCCTGTATCACATTGCTACTCTATGATTCATCTCTATTGTTCCTGTGATGCATTTCCTGTTCCGGTTGTATCCTCTCTCTCTCTCTCTCTCTCTCTCACACACACACACACACACACACAAGTTGGCTTTTATTGTATTTACTTACTCTACGTGAAAAAGAAATGTACATGAATATAATTACTCAAAAAATAGTATTCAGGTATATCTGCTATTCTATGTTATACATTAAATCTTTTATATGTTCTATTATAAAACTCCATTTGGAAGAAAGGAATGTCCATTTAATCCAAATGTATTTCATTGACCTAATTTATGTCATTCATGCAATTACACAACTGATGGTTTTATGTCATCTGTCAAATTACATCGTCTACATCAAATTATATCATTGCTACTGCTCTATAATTATATAAATGATGAAAATCACCCAAAAATGTAAATTATTCAATCACTTTAAATGACCTAAATTGCCACAAATGACATACTTCAAATTAATTGTCCAGAATACTTCAGGAACAATGGACTTTATTCTTTTCAGGTAATGTTCAATATAAAATTTTGTTCATTAAGTTTAGGGTATGAGGCTAAGGCTATCCACTGAATCAAACTGTTACTGTATGTGAAATAATTTATAATATAATTTGCTTCTCAATAAACTGAACTTTCTTTCAGCTTTCTTCACATTCACATCCACTTACTCTAGTGTGCATTTTAGTGTTATTCCTTGTTCTTCCTCAGTTAATTGTGCCTATAATACTAGGAATAAACTGCACAGATATATAGTCGGGAGACAGTAAGTATGCATTTTTGATGGAGAAAATTATTTGGTGCTCAGAAATGAGATTATAATTGCAACGCAAAAAAATAAAATCACGTCTCTGTTGTGTGGTGGTTTGTCATGGAAGCAATAGAGTGTTTTCTAGAGATTTCCTCTGTTTCACAATGGAGGGTCTTCCTCAATGGTCAGGTGGTCTTATTTGAATTCTACGGAGATGCATTAACATACAAACCTGGAGATCCTATTAGTTTCTGCAAGCAGAGCTTTACCATGGTTCTAGTTCTATTAAGCAACTTCTAGAAACTGCAGTGAATCTTTTATTTTTTAAACAAGGCAATTTGCTACTGAGGGAAATGACTACCAAAGGAAAGAAAAATACCTCATATAGTGTTCAACAATGCAGAAATAAAGGTGGGAAAACAACAATAAACTGACTCCTTCC